CGTCCAACACGGCCCACGTCAACGCATGAACTAGGCTAAGTCCAAACGATTACTAATAACATGTGTGCACATTCACGGGTATCCAAACATAACAGGAAAATAACAATCACATTCTAGGAGCGCACACTGAGAACTTTTTCGACAGTGAACATAATAGAGTAGCCGGACGGCGGAATTGACAACGCACACAAGAACCTGTACGCGTCTGAACGTTCTGACAATCCGTTAAGATGCTTCATTTACTTTAACCTGAATATAATTTTTAGTAACAAGAAAGTGCACACAACTCAGGTCAACAGACCATTGAAAATTAACCTTGTGTCATAACAAAACAGTGTGATAACAACTCCTAAATCGAATTAAGCTCCGAGTTAAACCCTGTTCGGTATTTTCCCAGGTTCAATGTGCGGGATTCGATTTCATTCAAGGAACTTCCGAGTTCGTTGCCATTAAGATGCTTAATTCCGCCTCAGGTCGGTCGTGTGCAAGAATTTATGTATGTATGTGGCTTCCATCCGTTTCTCGCGTGACGTGAGGAAGGTTATCGGCTTCAGTTAAGCCCCTTGTGTCGTGTTCTGAAAATAAATGAAGCCCTTAAGTTTTGATCGATGTGTTTCGACGACTGGAGACAAGACGTGTGACCCCCACGGACACCGCCCAGTGAAGATGCCGTGGAACGAGAGACGTGACGCGATGTGGCACGAGAACTCCGACGATCCTCGACGGCGTAATAATGACGAGCAACTGCATCCATGCCACTGCTCGCGGAGCGCAGATCTGAGCTGAGACCGCAGTTCGCATTGACGCTTGCACGTTCCTTCTCTTCTGAAAAAGCCTTTGTCACCCATAACTGCACTTCTGAAAAGTCTTCTTCTTCTTCGTGAGTCTGTGCACCAACTCCCTGGTCTCCCCATTGGTCGTTTGCTCGCCATTTTGCTGCTCTAAGAGGAATCTGTTTTGGTGTGTGTCTGTACCATTGCGTTCTTAATTTCACCGCCGTCCTTGTTTTTTTCCCCAGGTCTTGCGTAATTTCCTGGCTTTCTCAGGTGTGGCCTTGTTCGTAACTTTGTGAAAATTAATACAGTAAGAAATAGAAACTAATGTTTCGTACTTATTTTCAGATCCTCGCTCCTTGAATAAAATTAGAGTGCAGATAAAGACTTTGTGAACAAAATGATCGTTCAGTCGTGTTCTTCCTTGGCCCTTAATCGTCCTGTTGTTCAAATATTCTGGATCCCGTCTCTCTACCGGTGAGCTAATTATCTCAAAATTATAAATGCCGTAGTTCTTTAATTCATCGTCTTCTCGATTGACCTCTCAGTCTATTTTGGTATTTTTATTGTAGTTGTGTTTCATTTGCACTGTCAGTACTTTGCTTAGAATACGACACCATACGAACATCGTCCTCCTGCGTCAAAGCTCGACGTTCATTGTGCAGCAAAGTAGCTTCTTTAGAATTCTGTAGTTTTTCAATAAATTGGCTTAAATCATGGAGTCGAAAGGTCCGCCGCCGAATCCCGTGTGTGTTTGGACCTCACACTTCGCCTTGTGGGCTAACCTCACTCGCATTGCGCTCTATAAATCTTGACAGTCCCTCCAGGGCGCTGTCTTCCGGCGGATTGGAACGGGTGTGAAGACCTGTTAGGTGAAAGCTGGACGTCGTTGTATGAAAAGTGTAACGAGGCAGAAGACGAACGGGTTGCTGGTTCGTTCCTGCCGAGTCTGAAATCGTAACTCGGATACTTCCCTGCACGTGGACAGACACGTGACTGGATGTATTTACGTAGTTTACGAATAGTTGGAATCCAAATCACCTGAGAGGTTTCCTCTTCAGTAGCTGATCCTGTTACTCCATTTACGTCATCGTCGGAGAAGTGTCCTCCTACGCTCCCTCGAATTCAGACGCCTGAATGTCTAAGCTGAAGATGGCAGCACGTGCACACGGGCTTTCGTGAAAAATCAAGTTTTGTTGGTATTTCCGGTCGATTTAGCTTCTTATAAATTTATGTTGGTTCCTCCCTCTTGAGGCCTGTGTTCTTAATATCAATTTTACGACTGGACCATAAAGCAGTCAGTGGTCTAGCGGTTAGAACGCTGGCCTTGTAATCCTGGGGTCTCGGGTTCGATTCCCGGCGGTCCCCGAATTTATAACTTGTGTTGGGCAAGGCCGTGGTCTAGGCAACACGGAGTTTTCCTCCATGGCATCCCAACAATTACTCCATTCACACACAGAAGAAGGCAATGGCAAACCACTTCTGGATCATCTGCCAAGAACGTATATGAACAGGTCCCAGTCCGAGAAAAGGATGGAAGGATCCTGTTCATACGGACCTGTCGTCAGACAGAACACTAAAAATAAAAATAAAAAAATTTCAGGACACTTGCTGTTGTAAAAATACCACACCAAGTTTTACCATCGACACAAGTATACAGTTAAAAACAAATGTACAGTAGTCGGTACCCAACCGTGCGTTTCGCCAACGTCATACCTTGGGGGGGGGGGGGGGGGGAGGGGGAACA